TCTTTCTTTCGAGAGAGAAGTAGCACAGAGGTAATTTGTATACAAATTTTGCACGATCTACATCAAAGTTTTAGTTGCTTTAGATGTTTGAGTCGATCTAGCAATGAACGGGACGGAGTGATGAAAAAAAATTCACATAGCCGACCTCAAATTCATCAGGAAAAAGCTAGTTTGTTCTCTTGTTTTATGTTCTACTGAGGACGAAATCTATTTACTTCAATTTAGATATGTATTCACTTTTAAAGAAGTTTTTGATTCACTAAATTACTGAAACATTGTGTGCTTGGATTTCAAATTGAAGGCTATTTATATTAAGAATTTGATAGTCTGTAATGTCATTATTCAAAATAATGTTTCATTGTTGACTATGATTTCCTAAGTAGGAGCAAAGTATGCCTAAATAATCAGGATATGTGAGATCATAGGTTTGATGGATAAACAAAAACAAACTTAGCCTTGTTTCTCATAAATTTGATATCAGCTACTTAATTTTTTTCTGCACTGCCATTGATTAATGCCTCGCTAGATCTACTGGAAGATCAGACACAACTACATCTTTAGCAATCACAGATGGCGTTGTTACTCTCTCTCTCTCTCTCTCACACACACACACACACAAACATGTTAGACTGAAATCACATTGATTTTGTTTACACAAGCCTCCTTAAGTCCATGCAAAACATCTCCTAACTATCTAAGTCGTCATTCCTTTACTTATCCTCAGCAGTGCCGCCTCCATTTATACCCTTACATACTGCCCATCTTAAATCTTATGAGTTATGAATATCTCGGCACTTAGTACCATAAAGCATATCAGGTCTAAATAGTTGGATTTTCCTTTTTCTTTCCAATCTCTCTGTATAACTTTCATTATGCCGATTGTTATGAGTGATATTACAGTGCACAACTAAATCTAGTTAATAGTAGCACGGGATTATATTAATTGTGATCGATCAATGGATCTATAATTCTGTTTGAAAAAGCTCAGACTGATCCTTCAACATGGACTATCACCAGAGATCTATTTTATGCAGTGTTTTCTTGTTCTAACAGGAAATAGAAGAAGAAAGCCAAGTCGAAAGCCTGCTAAAACAACTAGACGAAAAGGAATCCTCCTGCGAGCAAACACTTCTTAAGCTTGATCACTATCAGAAAACATCAGAAGAACTTTCAACTCTGCTGAAGAACTCTGATTTTAAGAAAGAGTTTTACGTAAATGAATGCCAAGAAGCAAATATTCGTGTAAATGAACTTGAATCCAAAATTAAGGAGATGGAAAATCAATTATCGGAATATGAAATAACAAAAAAGCAGCTTTCTCATGTTTCTAGCGAGTTAATGTCCACCCAAGGACAACTTCTTATCAAGGAAGCTGAAATTGCAGAGTTGAAACATGCAAAAGTTGAGTCCATGATACAAATCGAGGCTATGGAAAGCACTTTAAGCCAAGAAAAGCTGAAAATGGAAGAGATTTTGAAGCACGTGTCAGAACTGAATGAAAATATTATGCATTTGAAGCGTAAAGCTCTTGAAGTAGAGAAGGAAAAAGACGAAGCGGTGTCTGAGAAAGAGGCTGAATTAGAAATAGCTGCAAATAAAGTGGCTGAAGCACAGAAGAGATTAGAAATTATGCATGACTTGGAGAATCAGCTTCCGGAGAAATCGGCATTTATAGATTCATTGCAATTGGAACTTGAGCAAGCAAACGAGCTTCGCATTTGTTCTGAGAAAGTTGCTTCCGATGCAACTTTTGAGTTAGCCCAGCTGAAAGCAGATGTGGAACTGCAAGGGAGAAAGTACTTGGATCAAGCTGCTTATAGCAGTTTGCTTGAGACAGAACTTGAAAAATTGAAAATGGAACTCGGAAAATCAGAAGAAGAGGTTTGCCACCAGAAAACAAATGCCGAGAACATGAAATCAGATTTGGAGAAGATTAGAGCTGAGGCAGTTGAGAGTCGAGATAAAGAGAATGAGGCACAAGTTGAGATAGCGTTACTGAAATTTGATCTTCAGAATGAGAGGTTGAAGCTTGCTGCAACTGAGGTTTCTGAAGCAAGATCAAAGAGTGAAACATCAGCACTACATAACGAACTTCAGCAGCTTTCATTAGAACTTGATGAAGCCAAGAAAGATAATCAAGCCTTAGAAAACGCTAAAAAATTGGCAGGCGACAGTAAAAGGGATAACATTTTGGAACCCCCTGAAGCAGGATCAAAGAGTGAAACATCAGCACCACATAACAAACTTCAGCAGCTTTCATTAGAACTCGAAGAAGCCAAGAAAGAGAATCAAGAGTTAAAGAAAGCTAAAAAATTGGCAGACGAAAGTAAAAGGGATAACATTTTGGAACCCCCTGAAGAAAACCGTACCCAGTCCATGGAACTTTCAAAAGCCGATGAGGAGCAGAAAATCTATGAAGAAAGAAAAGATGGAACAGGTGTCCATGAGACCTTGATTGAGAAGAATGCACCCTTGCATGAAAATGTGCTGGAATCCGAGGGTTTGAAGCAAGAGTTGGAAGTAGCACTGTCAAAAATCGGAGAGTTCAGGATTCGAGCAGAACAGGCTACAAGCAGGGCAGAGGTGGCCGAGAAGGCAAAAGAAGCACTAGTGGAAGAGATAAAAAGGCGGACGGAGCGTAAGGAAAGGAGAAAGGCTGCCATATCTGCACGACACAAAGATCCGAGTTCTGAAGATACTAGTACCACTAATGGTTTCAAACACGACGATGCTATTAAAAAGGATCACTCTCTTGGTAGGGTTCTTAACATTAAATTTTAGTTTCAAAGATTATAGGGTTGGATCTTTCAGTAGGGAAGAAAATCTTCTATTTTGTTCTATTAATTCTTATGAACATTGTTAAACCTTGAATAATAAAGATGCTTCTGCAATATAATCATATTTGGATTCTTATAGTTCATATTGTTACTTATTTCCCTTGTTCATTTATTTGAATTTGGAAATATAATCGGATTTCGTTGACATCTTTATATCTTACAACGAAAATTTTGATCAAGGTCGTTTAGTACGGCCAGAATGCTCCTTGAAAGCAATAAATTCTTTTGTTGAAGCTCACATTCATGATCTTGCAAACCACTGGATTCTGTACTTCACAAATATGTTATGTCACCGTTGATTTAGACAGCAATGGTCATCCTCTCTTTTCACAAGTGATTCCTTTCACAAGGGCCAACTTTCAAAGATTTTTCCCCAAAAGGAAACGCATTTTTCTATATTGGTATGCTGGTCAAAATGCCTTGGGATCAAAGGTATTTGTTTATTGTCTCTTCTAGAATACACGCACATAATAATAACGACAAACTAAGTATTAATTTAAATGAATAAGAGGTTGGAAAACACACATTAATATGATATTGTGTCAATATGAGGTAGTATTTTGTCACATCGAGACTTAGGACTTTTATCTACTCTACTAATCATTTTATCTAAAACTTCGAATTATTGGTGTGGGGGCAGACTTATTTATTTATAAGTATATTTACAACACCTTTAACGATCAAAACGACATGCCTTTTCAATTTTAGTGAACGAGTATATTCTTTTGTGTTTCCTTTTTTGCCTAGAAAATGGAATACGATGGGCAATAATTTATCATTGAGCAAATGTCTCAAAGGCAACTTTAAACGAATGGTTCTTATTCATTCAATTCTATACATAATTAGTTCTTTCCATAGCCACCTCCCGTATTTACTTAGAATATAACGTGACATTTATAGATTTTTTTTATCGTAAAATAATGTGACCCATATATTTTACAAAGATTTGTTTAATTAATTCAAATAGTAAGAATTCTCTTTAGAATTTTTTATGAGAAATTAATTCGTGGAGGAATAAATTTTGATTCTAATTTCATAAATGTTCGTGAATCTTTTTTATTTCTGAATTCTTTTCTAATGATTATACATTCATTATTTTTCTAATTAATGATTTTTTTTTTTCACATTTTTGGTTTTTTAAATGCAATGTAACTTCTTGGTTAGGCACAACTGTCACAAGGCGATGGAGAAGAGTTCATAAGACTCGGACACACGGCTGTACTTAGGGATGTCCAAAAGTCCCGAACCGAACCGAACCAGACCGGACCGGACTGAACCCGAACCGAACCGTGCGGTTCTTTATAAATTAAATACCCGAACGGGTACCCGAATTGAGAACCGATGGGTTTGGGTCGGGTCTCGGGTCTAGACCAAGAACCGAAGAACCGAACAAGAACCGAAGCTCAATAATTTTTTTATTTTTTATATTGAATTAATTAAATTATTTTATTTTTTTCCTATACAAATTAGCAAATTAATTGAATAAATTAGATTATTTCATAATTTTAATTTTTAAGCCCAAATCATTTTAAAATCCATTAGCCCATTTTAATTTGAAGCAAATGAATATACTTTATGTAGTTTTGCTGTAATATTAATATCTACTTTTTGGTATTTGTATGCATTGAATTAATCTTATTGGACGGCTAGTTTTGTATATTTTTTTGAATTGGGCTACGTTAATTTGTAAAAGTTACGAATGAAATGTTATTAATTGTATTTATGTAGTGTTGCTGAAAATATTAAAAAATTTAATTATGGTACGGAACCGAACGGAACCGAACCGACCCGAACCGAACCGAACGGAACCGAACCCGAACGGTTCCATAATTATATTTGGACCCGACGGGTCCATTTATTAAATACCCGAAAGTTTTGGGTCGGTTCGGGTATCTTCAGAACCGAACCGAACCGACCCATGGACAGCCCTAGGCCTGTATTGCATCCACTTCAATAGAAAGTCTTAAGAGGCCTTTGGAAACTTCCTATACTAATGGTGAAGCTGTTCGACTCTCTAAAAGAGTGAGAGGTAAAGATAAGGCTCATGACAGAACTTATAATCCCAAGTCTCAGGTTTCGGTGGTGGCTGAACTTCAGCCCCACTGGTCACCATGAAACTTCTTAGCTGGAATGCACGATTGGGAACCCTCGTGACATTCGCACTCTTTCTGATCTTATCAGGAAGGAAGACCCCGATGTTTTGTTTCTGCAAGAGACAAAACTTAATGTTAAAAAAATGGAGCTCTGTCAAATCAAGTTAAAGTTTTATGGATGTTTTACTGTCGAAGCAATTGGACGTAGTGCTAGCATTGCACTCCTCTGGAAATCCGATATTCGTCTATCTATTCTAGTTACTCCAAGAGCCACATTGATGCCAAAATCGAATCGCCACAAACCAACTGGTTTTTAACTAGAATCTATGGTCACCTAGAAACAAATAAACGCATAGAGACCTGGGATTTATTGAGGAGACTGAAAAGAGACAACCTGGAAGCTTGGCTTGTCTTTGTCGACTTCAATGAAATCCTATCTAACAATGAGAAATGGGGAGGTCAGGATTGACCTAGACAACAAATGGAAAATATTCAACAAATGTTCTCTGATTGTAAGCTAAGTGATCTCGGGTTTAAAGGCCATCAATTCACATGGTATAAGGGAAGGCATAATAACACTCAAATTTTTGAAAGGCTTGATCGTTTTGCTGCTAATGCTTCTTGGTGTCGACTCTTTACTCATGATGTGGTTACTCATGGCTCAATATCGTAATTTGATCATCTTCCTCTATGGATCCAACTTGAAGGAGCTCATTGACAACCTATAGGAGCTAAGCCATTCCAGTTTGAATCGATGTGGCTTGGTGAAAGGCCTGCTCTGAAATTGTGCTGAATCAATGGTGTGATAATAGCCCTCAGATTCTGGAGAGTATGATGAGGAATATAAGCTACTGCAACACTCAACTTCGGCACTGGAATCGAACCACATTTGGCACGGTACATGTGGAGGTTAACAAAGCCAGATCTAAGTTAGACCAAGTCCAAAATCAAGATCCTATAAATATAAACTCTGATGATAGTCAGAAAACGGCTGCTGAAGTGCAAACTTGGATGGATATGGAATAACTAATGTGGAAATAGAGGTCTAGAGCTGCTTGGCTTGAGGAAAGGGACCGGAACACTCATTTTTTCCATGCTAAAGCTTCCCAGAGGAGAAAGACAAACATGATTACTAAGCTTTTAGATGACCAAGATTGTTGGCAAGAGGGGGATGCGTGCAACAATCTGATCATCAACTATTATTCTGACTTGTTCTCCTTCACTAGTTCAAATAATCATGATGATGTACTAAATGAAATAGAGAGCAAGCTCACTCCTGATATGAACAACAACTTGATACAACACTTTACCACAGCTGAAGTCACCCAGGCCTTGAAGGAAATGCACCCCACGAAAGCTCCGGGACTTGACGGTATGCCTCATCTTTTCTTCCAAAGGTTTTGGCCCAATATTGGTTCCTCTATCACAAATGCTGTACTACATTCGTTAAATACCTAAAACTGAAAACCCTCATAGAGTCAAGGATTTCATGCCTATCAGACTGTGTAATGTTATGTACAAACTGGTTTCTAAAGTTGTGGCTAATAGAATAAAAACAGTGGTTCCTATAGTGATCTCAGAAACACATTTAGCTTTCATTAAAGGGAGACTCATTACAGATAATATACTTGTGGCCTACGAAATGCTCCATTTCTTACGGAGAAAGAAGAAAGGAAAGAAAGGCTTCATGTCTCTTAAGTTGGATATGAGCAAAGCATATGATTGAGTTGAATGGCCTTTTCTACAGGCAGTTATGCACACAAACTGGGCTTCAACGAAAAGATTATTCAACTAGCAATGAAATGTGTTACTATCCCCTCTTTCTCAATTCTTATAAACGGCAGTCCTACTGGCCACATAATTCCGTCTCGAGGCTTAAGGCAAGGAGACTATCTATTTCTTTTATGCATGGAAGGACTAATTAGCCTAATGAATGAGGCGAAGAGAACCAATTTGGTGACAGCTATTTCAGTGTGTCGAAGAGCTCCAAGATTGAATCATCTCCTCTTTGCGGATTATAGCTTGATGTTCTGTGAAGCTAATGAAGAAACCATGACTAGGCTCCAAACTATCCACAGTACTTATGAAGATGCTTCAGGGCAACAATTGAACAGTGAGAAAACGTCGATGGTATTTAGTGCTAATATATCACCGGATAAATAGCAATCGATTATGGCCTTATGGAATGCTCCCCACGTACAACAATATGAAAAGTATCTTGGCTTACCACCGATGGTGGGTAGATCCAAAGCTCGAGCCTTCGACGAAATAAAGCACAAAGTTACTTTTCAATTTTCATGTTTAACCAAAATTTTTAATTTTTAAACCAAATATTTCGTGCTTAAATTGAACTCATTCAACCCTTTGCCAAGTGAATAAAAACCGTTTCTTAGAGACCAAGTTGTTACAAATATAAAGATTAGGAACTTAAATAACAAGAATTAAAGACTTCAAAAGACCACTTATTACAATACTTACACGTTGAAATCCACAATTATGATTTTCATAAAGACACCAGATCTCATAAAGATGTTTAAATGGGTCGACTAACCCAACTCGACCTATTTTAGTGGGTTCAGATCGTAGCATAAAAAAATAGCAAGATCCGAATTGAATCTAGATCGACCCACGAATTGATCTCATCTTTTCTTTGGGGCCGTGAACATATGTGGTCAAGTCCGGACAACATTTCCCCCACACGTGAAAAGAATTTAATGGAGAATCTAGTCTTAGATTTGATTTTATATTTGTCTCATTTTGTGTCCCCCTTTGTGCACGGGTGTTGCGTAGTTACCATTTATTGACTAATGATTTTATTAAACCTAAATCAATTCACTTAGTCCAAAAATTT